CTACCTCAGTCCTGGCCCCTTGCCACTTAGTACCTCGGAAATGAATGGTGTCGCCTCCACCATGGCACAAAGCTTCAAAATTTAACTTCTTTAAAGCCCCTCCCTTGATAGTATCTTTCAAAGAGATACCCCCTTCCAAGAGAGGTAATACCAAATCTCTGTTGGGAAGGCTTTGCTTTGGCACTCTGCTTGGGTTACAGGCTGTCTTTTGAGTATGTCAAGAGGTTACAAGAATCAAGCACATACAGTCATGTATCACTTAATGACAAGGATGCATTCTGAGAAATGGCATGGGCAGTTTCATCATTGTGTAGGAATCATAGAATGCACTTACACAAACCTAGATGGTATAGCCTACTACACTTAGGTCCTATGGGATAGCCCAGTGGTGGGGAACCTTTTTTCTGCCAAGGACCATTTGGATATTTATAACATCATTCGTGGGCCATACAAATTATCAACTTAAAAATGAGCCTGCTCTATTTGGTCAAATTTTTCATTAACTCACCCCTCATGCCTTGGCAGGGCCAGGCCAAATGATTTCTCAAGTCTTATATGGCTCATGGGCTGGACATTCCCTACCCTGGTATAGCCTATTGCTCCTAGCTACAGGCCTGTAGAGCACGTTATAACAAAACACCAGAGTAAATTGAGTTCAAGAGGAAATAATGTAATCAAGAGACCCAGTAGATATGAGATGTATGAAGCTACTGTTGGCATAACACAGCATATGTCTATAGCAAATTTTATAAATAGAACAACTATCAACTACTGACAAAAGTATAGTATAACAAATATATAAACCAGTAATATAGTCCTCTATTACCATTGTCAAGTATGATGCACTGTACTTAATTGTATGTGCTATGCTTTTAAGGGACTGGTAGCATTATAGTTTGTTTATACTAACATCGCCACAAACTCATGAGTAATGTGTTATACTACAACTAAAGGCCTGGTGCATGAATTCATGCATGGGTAGGGTCCCTCAGCCTGGCCAGTGATGGGGCCATCTTGCCCAGTCCCAATGGGGGCCGATCAGGACCTGCCAGCCCGGGGGAGGGACTGTGAGAAGTTGGCTGGCCATGGGAGGTTGGCTGTGAGAGCACACAGACCACCAGGGGGACAGTGCATGCCATAGTGACCAGTCGTTCGGTCATTTGATCGCTTAGGCTTTTATATATATAGACTAGAGGCCTGGTGCACGAATTCGTGCATGGGTGGGATCCCTCGGCCTGGCTGGCAATAGGGCCCGATTGGGTCATCTTGCCTAGTCCTGATCGGGGCCATCAGGGCTGGCCAGCTGGTGGGGAGGAACCCCAATCAGGGAGGGACTGCCGGAGGTTGGCTGTGGGAATGCACTGACCAGCAGGAGGCAGCTCCTGTATTGAGCATCTGCTCCCTGGTGGTGAGTGCGTATCAGAGCAACCCATTAACCCTTGTTCAGTTGCTTAGACTTTTATATATATATAGATGGCTATGACATCACTAGGTGATAGGAATTTTTCAGTTCCATTATAATCTTATCTATCATATATGTGGTCCATCGTTGACTGAAAAATCTTTATGTGGTGCATGACTATACTTAAATAGAGTGGTAGGTGATGAGATTGAAGAATGATATCGTAGGCCGAAACTGATTTGGCTCAGTGGCTAGAGCGTTGGCCTGTGGACTGAAAGGTCCTAGGTTCGATTCCGGTTAAGGGCATGTACCTTGGTTGTGGGCATATCCCCAGTAGGGGGTGTGCAGGAGGCAGCTGATCGATGTTTCTCTCTCATTGATGTTTCTAACTATCTCTCTCCCCTCCTCTCTAAAAAAATCAATAAAATAAATTTTTAAAATGAGGGGGGGGGGTTTGGTAAGATATGTACACATATAATACCTTAATTTAAAAAATGAAAAAAAATGTTATCTTGGGCTCTGATAATCCACTAATGAGACTGAATAAATGGGAATAGTCTATTCTAGTGATTGAGAAACCGATTGCCTGTTCAAATCCTCAAATGCATCTGCCAAGATGGCCCCACCACCTCCTGGTTTATTCATATCCTTGTGTATTGTCCTCTCCAAATATACCAGGATTAGTCTGTGAGGGCCAATCAAACCAGGTCTGCCTACAAAATTTGATCCATCAAAGATCAAGTTGTAACCAAGCTTTGTATCCAGACCTATACCTATTTGTATATATTGATCATATAGATCAACATAGATCGATGTAGATATGCAAGATTGTAGCCATGGCATATCTTTTGCAAATGCCGGAAGGTTCTATGAATTTTGTAACTTAAATCCTTCTATTTTCTGCCTTTTCAAGTTTGGGTTATTTGTATCAGTACTGTATTTTCAGATAATGCAGGTCCTCTATTTTAAGAAATGAGTTCCAGTCCCAAATTCACAAATAAAGAATTATTATAGTAATAGCATATTCATGAAAAGCAAATTACTTATCTTGGCGTTTAACATCCTCGTAACTATTCCTGTACTTTTAATGTCAACAGAAAAAAAAAGTAATGTCTAAGTCTGGCTGATACAGTAAATTAACGTTAATAACAGTTTTGACACTAATAGCAAGTTTCAAAAAGGAAAACCTCCAGTCTCTAAGCTGGGTTTCATTTCTTCAAAATCACCTCAGCTTGCTGTCACCTGACCCCTCCCCCCCAGAACAGTTCCCGCTACGATTCACCTTCATGGGGTGCCTGAAACAACTAGAATCTACACAGTTTCTATGAAATGATATCCCTTCCCTGCCTTTGCTCACTCCACATGGAGAAAACACCCACCCCCTTGAGTTGCAACACCAGAGCTTCTCAGTAGACACATTTCTGAGTCCCCATGAGCACAGGAATACCTACATGGTTTCATTTACCCACCACTAGCTATTTCTTCAGAATTTGAAGATTAGTTGTGAAAAAGTGAACCATGAAGTTACACGCTAAGTACCTTGTTTCCCCGAAAATAAGACATCCTCCGAAAATAAGACCTACTTACAGGTTTCCTTCTGAGTGAAACATAAGGCATCCCCCGAAAATAAGGCCCCCCTAGGCTCTGTCTCAGAATGAAAATTAATTTCACAAGAAATGCACCAGGAAATTCAGGCATTGGATTGTTATGATGATGTTCCAGAAGATGATGACATGATTGTCATTGAATAAATGAGTCAATTCTTGATACTGTAGGATTCAGTTTCTCTGGTTTACCGTACCATACCATTTACAGGTAATAAATTTCCTTTATTTTCATTTAACAATAAATGTGTACCGTATTCTTCTTCGTGGAAAAATAAGACATCTCCTGAAAATAAGACCTAGTGCATCTTTGGGAGCAAAAATTAATATAAGACACTGTTTTATTTTCAGGGAAACAGGGTAAATAGGGAATTTCAGACTTTAGCTTATGGAGACCATGGAACACCAGAGAACAGGGTCTGCACTATATCCTTAAGTTTTCCCCAGTACTGTGCACACACAAGGTCATTCACACTGACCCATGAATTCAACTGACCTGAGCGCAAATGTTAGCGTGCCCAAGGGGAAAGGAACAGGAACCCAGCCCTTGGCTCCTCCACTCTTACCATCTCTTTCTGGAGGTCAACAAGGGTTAAAGCAGCCGCGTGCGGATTCAGCCAACAGGACGTGCTAACCTCCCTCTATCATCACTTAGAAACCACTAGGCTTTCAGCAAAGCGTCTCTTCCCATTTCTCACACGTTGTTCTTTTTCTATCACTAATTGAGTGTTTTACTTTTAGATAATCCTCTAATGAACCAGCTCAAATGAGCAGAGAGGCAGGAGTGACAAGCCATCAATAAAATAATTAAGCCGAAGTGGATTTTGTTAGAGACTTCTCATGTCATAATAGGAAATCTAGGCTACTTAAAATCAGGGAAATGAAATGGAATCATTTATTTTTGTTTTAAAAGGAAGCTAGCTGTGAAAGTATCTCTTTCATAGAACCCTCATTAACTCTGCTGACAGTGTTGGTTATTTACTTTGGAGGTGGACATACAATAGAAAATACTAAGGGAGTTCGAGGAGGTTTCCAGAATTTTCTTTTCCCTTCTCATATATTTCATTCTGAATTTTCTGTAGAATTTAGGCAAGAGACCCTTGACATTTTCTCTCTGTTTTAAGATTCATATTCTTGCTGAAACTGGTTTGGCTCAGATGATAAAGGGTTGGCCTGCAGACTGAAAGGTCCTGGGTTCGATTCCGGTCAAGGGCATGTACCTTGGTTGCTGGCACATCCCCAGTGGGGGGTGTGCAGGAGGCAGCTGGTCCATGTTTCTCTCTCATTGATATTTCTAGCTCTCTATCCCTCTCCCTTCCTCTCTGTAAAAAATCTATAAAAAATATGTTTTAAAAAAGATTCAGATTGTGGCATCAGTCCCCAAAGATTTCTGTGCCAACATACACATGCCATGGAAAAAACAGGAGGGGGAAAAAGAAAAAAAAAAAAAAAAAAAACAACAGCAGGGAAATCAGGGCATGATGGGTAGAGATGCAGGGCCAAATCCTACCTCTTCTCTCCCTTCCAACCAATGAAACAGGATAGTTTCTCGTAACAAGAGCTGACCTAGGCAGCTGTTTGGTTTGCACCCTTCCCCCCTGGCTGATCCAGGAGCCGGTTAGCCTTGTCTTACAACACAAGCTCCATGATGCCACTGACTCAGTTTACCTTTATCGTCAAGTTTTGTATCATCTCCCACTGGGAACCTGAGATGAGCTACAGAACCAGCCCCTGCAGTAATTCCATTCGATGACCACCAAATGGCTTTAGGCTCTGGACAAGAGTTGGCTTTGGGTACTATTGGGTACTATATTGAGGGGTAAAGCAGGAACTAAATAAGGAAGTGACATGAACTTGAAGTCACTCAGGCTGGTGGATGCCCCAAGTGGAGGCCACATATTGGGTTGAGATAAGGGACAACCTTGAGTAGTTTCGTGAGAAAAGATACACTGAAAACACCCGTCATCGCGGGGCCAAGTGAAATAATTACATACCCATGCTCCATCTGGCCCAAACAGTTCTAAGAAGTTGCCAATGAATTCCCTTGACTTCTCTTCCCACTTTTGAATAAGATCATGACTCTTTTCTTCCACTCTGTTAACAAACTCCTTCGATCTTTCCTCCACATTCTTAACTTTTTCTTTCATCTTGTCTACCTGGTTTTGAAAGCGGTATTTCTTCTCCTGGTCAGAAAGTAGAGGAGGGGAAAAATGGATTTATCGGAGAGGGCATGAGAGAGATCCGTCATTCACATTAGTGGTTATATTTTATTTCAACTTATGTTCCTGATCTGAAGAGTCAGGATATCACTATTTCCCAAGAGCTGGATTGGTGGGAAGGCACATCTCTGATTAGAAAAGTCACTTGTCACCCTGGCCAGTTTGGTTCAATGGATAGAGCGTCGGCCTGCAGACTGAAGGGTCCCGAGTTCGATTCCGGTCAAGGGATGTACCTCGGTTGCAGGCTCCTCCCCGACCCAGGCCAGAGGCAACCAATTGATGTGTTTCTCTCATATGGATATTTCTCCCTGTCTTTCCCTGTCTCTAAAAATCAATGGAAAAATATCCTCAAGCGAGGACTGAAAAAAAGAAAAAGAAAAGGCACTTATTAGTCTTGTTGGATATGTACAGGTGAAGTACAACTTGTTTTAATGGTCTCTTTTTTGTAAATGTCTTGGTTGAATTCACTTATATAAGAGAAGAACAAAGATATATATTTGCGCTTTATTATGGGTAGATATTGGGCAAATACCCCCCCTACCCCAATTCTGCTGGGACTTAGTCAAAGTATAAATGAACATAGAATGGGTCCTCAGAGGCTTTCTGAGATTTCTGCTTCCTGAGTCTTCCGTTTCACTGAGACATTTTGTTAAAACCAATATGGATTGAAAAAACGAGCCATGCCCTAACTGGTTTGGCTCAGTGGATAGAGCATCGACCTGCGGACTGAAAGGTCCCAGGTTTGATTCTAGTCAAGGGCATGTGCCTTGGTTTCGGGCACATCCCCAGTGGGAGGTGTGCAGGAGGCAGTTGGTTGATGTTTCTCTCTCATTGATGTTTCTCTCTAGCCCTCTCCCTTCCTCTCTATAAAAAAATCAGTAAAATATATTAAAGAAAAGAAAAAGTGGTTCATTTGCTGGGCCTTAGAATCCACGTGTTATGCTAAACTTTTCGTTGTAATGGTATTTTCCATTAAGCTGGCTGAACTGCAGTGATTTCCTTAGTGGTGAAGAATTCTCTTATCTGATAGCTTCTTTTGACTGGGACTTTGTCTTACAGCCTTTATGCAGCAGTGCTAATATCTGTATGCCTGGAAGGCACTGTATGTTAAGCAAGTCACATGGCACCTCTAAGCCTCAGTTTCCTCATCTGTGAAATGGGATCATTATCCCTACCTTATAAGGTCACTGCAACAATTAGGTAAACTAATGCAAGAATGCGCTTTGGCACAGACTGGCATTTAGTCAAAGCTCAGTGTGTGTTGTCTGTTTCATTGCTATTAAGTGACATAGGCATTTAATCCTGTTGCTGGATGAGAATGGTATGGAAACCATAAAAATAACATGAAACAGAGGGTCTTCCCCTCCATGAAATCATATGTTTTCTCCTAAATAGGTAATAAGCTTTATCATTTTTCTTCACTACATGGGACTGCAGTTCATTTCAGATTTCAGATTTTCTCGAGGCACCTGGACTATTGCAAAACTGGGTCAGGATTCCCTGATTTAGACTTTCCAAACTTCACTGCAGCCTCAGGGTGTGGTGTGAGCTATATGTGCTGCCACTCAGCTTTTTATATGTATACTAGAGGCCTGGTACATGAAATTCATGCACGGGGAGGGTCCCTAGGCCTGGCCAGCGATAAGGGCCCATCTGTGTGGCGACTAGTGGGGCAACAGCCCCTTTGGCCAGCCTGGTGCTGCCCCCTCACTTGCTGGCCCCTCCCCAGCCCCCTGATGCCACCTGCTTGCCAGGGTGATCAGGGAGCCCCCTACTGGCACCCGCCTTGGCTGGCCTGGAGCCTGTGGCCTTGGGGCAGCTCCTGCATTGAGCGTCTGCCCCTGGTGGTCAGTGCACATCATAGTGACTGGTCATTTCACTGGTCATTCCATGGTTCAGTTGATTTGCATATTAGGCTTTTTAAAAATATATATTTTTATTGATTTGCCACAGAGAGGAAGGAAGAGGGATAGAGAGTTAGAAATGTCAATGAGAGAGAAACATTGACGAACTATCTCCTGCACACCCCCTGCTGGGGATGTGCCTGCAACCAATGTACATGCCCTTGACCGGAATCGAACCTGGGACCTTTCAGTCCGCAGGCCGACGCTCTTTCCACTGAGCCAAACCGGTTTTGGCCCATATTAGGCTTTTATTATATAGGATATTATTGATTTGAGGAAGAGAGGGACAGGAATATCAATGAGAGAGAACCATTGATTGGCTGCCTCCTGCACACCCCACACTGGGGATCGAGCCCACAACCTGGGCATGTGCTTTGACCGGGAATCGAACTGTGACCTCCTGGTTCAACCACTGAGCCATGTCAGCTGGGCCACTCAGCAACTTTTACTCTATGGTTATTATAACGGCTCTCAGGGGCAGCACAGAGTAGTAGGGTGAGCACTGGATCGGGAGTCACAAGGCTGGGAGCTGCTGCAGCTTCCACCTCTACCTTGCTGAGGGGCCTTGGCCAGGCACCTTCTGAGCTAGATTTCCTCATTCCTACATGGAGGGACTTGGACAGGATGACTGACCCTTGGCAGGTTCCAGCCACCTCTCGGGTTCTGTGATTCATCTACACACCCCTCCAACACATGTGACCCTCTCTCCAGGCTGCAGCCAGGTTTGTTGTCACAGAAAAGGCACAAGAGCATCCATGCTGATTGCACAGTTCCCTGAGCTCAGGGGCTTATCCAAAGGCCGCTTAAAGAGCGTGAGCACCAAAACCGGTTTGGCTCAGTGGATAGAGCGTCAACCTGTGGACTCAAAGGTCCCACGTTTGATTCCGGTCAAGGGCATGTACCTTGGTTGAGGGCAATTCCCTTTGGGGGGTGTGTAGGAGGCAGCTGGTCGATGTTTCTAACTCTATCTCTCTCCCTTCATCTCTGTAAATATATATATATATATATATATATATATATATATATATATATATATATATATAAATTTTTTTTTTAAAGAGCGTGAGCAAGAACTTTTGGAAATGGCTCAACATGCTTGGATGGTTGACTAAATTCAGTTAAAAATATATTTTATTATTTTACAGAGAGGAAGGGAGAGGGATAGAGAGCTAGAAACATCAATCAGAGAGAAACATCGATCAGCTGCCTCCTGCACACCTCCTACTGGGGATGTGCCCACAACCAAGGTACATGCCCTTGACCAGAATTGAACCTGGGACCCTTCATTCTGCAGGCCGACGCTCTATCCACTGAGCCACACCGGTTAGGGTGACTGAATTCAGTTTAAAAGATCAGTTTAATTTCTTGAAATACCCGGGGCTTCCTTCCCTATGAGACACCAAATGATCTCGGTGACTGAGTTCTTCTCAGCCACTTAGTCTGGTGCCACTGAAGCTGATGTTCTCCACTTTGTTGCCCGGCTTGCATGAAGCCACAGAGCCTGGCCCACCAACCCTGTCACCCTCACCCCCCATCCTTCAGGGACAACTAATTATCCCCGATTTACATGAATGAGCCCCTCCTCATTGGGAAGGTACCAGTGACCAGTCTGTGTAAGCTGCTGGGTAATTATGGCGGCGTGTGAGTCTAAGCATCTAGTTTTATAGAAAAATCCCTCTTTGAAAATGCAGTACCATATCTATTTTGGGGGGTTGAAATTCTGGAGGGATGGAGAGTTCTTGTTTTGATCAACTGCCTGGGCTCCTTGGAGTCTAGGCAAACACAGTTGTCCAGACTCGCTACCATCACCTTCAGCAAGTGGGCTGCCCTCTCTGCTTTTTAACGCTCTGTTTTGCTTGTTTTAAAGATTGTTTTAATAGCTACTCTATTATTAAGCTCACAGCAGCTCTGTGCGAACAATATGGCAGAAATACCCAAGGAAGCCAAAGACTTGAGGCTTTATTTAAGCAGCTGTAATTTCTCTGGACAAGAAAAAACTGTTTTTAAGATGTCTAGCGAGCATCGGTGAGGCTTTAATAAGATGAAAATTTTAAAAAATGTTAGAACAAGAAAGCATTTTCTCTGGGTTTAGCTTTCCCTAAACCCTCTGCCCTCCTTCCCTCCCTTTGAGCAGAAGAGAACTATTTTTGTTGTTGTTGTTAATCTTTACCCAAGGATATTTTTCCATTAGTTTTTAGAGAGAGTGAAGGGAGGGGGAGCTACAGAGAGAGAAATATCGATGTGAGAGAGACACAGCAATCATTTGCCTTCTGCCTGGCCCCTGACCGGGGCTGGGGATTGAGCCTGCAATCAAAGTACATGCCCATGACCAGAATCGAACCTGGGACACTTCAGTCCAAGGGCCAACCCTCTACCCATTAAGCCAAACCAGCTAGGGTCTGAAGAAAACTCTTGCTTTTCATGAGAGCAGATCACCCAGAAACTGTTGGCCCAGGTCTGAGAACTCTAAAGAGGAACATTAAGAGGAGGGGAGGGAAGGGGAGGGGAGGGGAGAGGAGGGGAGGGGAGGGGAGGGGAGGGGAGGGGAGGGGAGGGGAGGGGAGGGAAGCAGTTCCTTTATAAAATGTGGAGCTCACTACCTGTGTGCCTTGGTTGACTTATGTTACCCCTTTGAACACTGGTTCTCCATCTGTAAAACGGGATGGTAATACATCATTGGGTTGCTATGTGGATTGAGTGAGACCATAAATGGAAAACACCAAGAACACTGCGTGGCATATAGTAAGTGCTCAATAAACGGCGACCGCAGTGTGATTTGGTGGCCTTCAGAGGGTATGAAGTGGCACACTTACGTTTATGAAACTGACATTCAGTTCCTTTGCTGTGTACCCTCTCTGGAGGTTGCGGCGGGCATACACATCATAGTCGCGGACAATTCTGGTGATGATATCTGATGTTGAGATACCTTCCGTTCTCTGAGTCGGAACGAACATCCCTGTTCAGATAGGAAAGGGGAGATGAGAAGAAAAAAGGAAGAGGGATTCGGTTGACCCATCTTCTTTCCCCCTCCCTTGCAGGGCAGAGCTGCAGCTCCTGCTGTGCCAGGGAGGTTTTCACATCTGGCCTGCAGGGGGCTGTTTCTCTGTTTTCCGTGTCCATCTCCATCACGGAAAAGGAAATAGGTTCCTGAGTGGAGAAGCTGGGGATTAAGAAAGAAAGAGACCAGAGGCAGAAATAGATTCATCAAGCTGGGCGCTAGATGGGCGCCACCTCTCTAATAGAGAGGCAGCAAGCGACCCCCCCCCCCCACCCCTGCCCCAAGCCATGCAGAAGGTTTATTTATAGGGTCAAAGGAGCTTATTTGCATTCTTAACTAGGCTCTAGCATTACTGGATTTACATATCTAGACCCGCCCCTGCTGACACCTGGACAAAGGTACTCTGCCAGGGCCTCAGGCTCAGCTTACAATTTAAAGAATGTCCATGTGCCTTCTCAGGTGGCCCTCTACACTGGCCCAGCTGAGTCTTCCAGGCTCAGTTCTGAATGCCCCTGTTCTACCCCGAATGTTCATCTTCCTAGACCTGGACGCACCACGCACTCCCCCAGCTCCTAGCATTTGCTCATGCCCAGCCCTTCCTTTCTGCCTTGACTCCTTCCCCGCTCACATCAGCCATATCATTCCTCATCCCATCCAGCTTCAAGGTCATGCCTCTGGGAAGTCTTGACAACACTGGGCAGAATCCTCAACATCTGAGACAGGCAATGAGTATGGTGTGCCCTGCAACTGCATAGCGCACCTCCCACTAACAGAAGTCTTTCCAATGTCTGTCTCCTTGTGGAAAGAGAACATTCTGGAAGCACAGGTTATACCTTCACTGTCTTTGCATCCCCAGCACCAAGGTCAGTGCCCCTGGGTCTGGCACATGGAAGGTTGCTCAAGAAATGCAAATTAAATGAGCAAATGAAGAGAGAATAAAACGGAGTCAATGAATTAGTCAGATCATGGCAACTCCCCTTCTTTCCCAAGGAAGTCTGGGTCATGTGATACTGAAGGAAAAGAAGAAAAAGTGTTCTATTTTGTTTTCTCTGACCTAAAGGCGTGTTTGTGGGGTGCTAGATGATTTTATCTCCCCAAGTTTGTTCTACTCTGGATGGTGATATCCCCACTCAAAGGCCCTTTTGTTTAGAATACGTGGGACTGAGGGGAAGAAGAAAAAAAAAAGCAGAGGATGCCAAATCGCAATAGAACTTGCTTAAAGTCCTCGGATATATATGGGTATGCCAATACAGGGCTAAGAAGCGGTCACAAATGTTATCAAAGACAAGAATCTGGTTTGTGCTTAAATGTGTCAACTGAAATGCCATGTTGGCAATTGAGATCCTTCTACCCAGTATGATTATGGCTACTCAGTCAGAGGTGCCAGGCGTGGCATGGCATGATGGACAGAGCCTAGGGACCGTGATACTGGCTTCTTGGTTTGTAGACTTGGGCAAGTTTCTTAAGCCTCAGAAGGCAAGTTACTTAACCTCAGTCTCCAAAGCTGAGAAATGACGTGGCTAGATAAGATGACCTTGGGCTCATCCATGCTACTTCCCTCTCCTCACTCCTTATCCCCAATTTCCTTCCAATCACCAATCTACGTCGTAAATGTCTCCCCAACTGATGTAATTGTCTCCATTCTTCAACTCTAAACCAATCTAATGCCATCCTTTGCCAAAATTACAGCAGGAGCCTCAATACCACTCTCCAGCGATGCCATGTCTTTGGTCCCCTCAGTTAGCTTTCCCCAGAGCAAGAGCTCAGAGCAGTCTTTCAAAATGCAAGTCAGATGCCTATCCAACACGCTTCATTGGCTTTCTACTGTTCTCTGTATTTAATATGTTTTTATTGACTTCAGAGAGAGGAAGGGAGAGGGAGAGATAGAAACATTAATGATGAGAGGGAATCATTGATCGACTGCCTTCTGTATGCCCCATACTAGGGATCAAGCCTGCAACCTGGGCATATGCCCTGACCGGGAATCGAACCGTGACTTTCTGGTTCAACCACTGAGCCATGCTGGCCAGGCTACTGTCCTCTGAATTTAGATTCAAATCCTTAACCTGGCCCTGCAGCAGCTTGCATTATCTCTTCCCTGTGCTTTTCTCCAGTCTCACCTCATATGCTCTCCACCTCCTTCGCTCGCTAAGCCAAATCCCTGTGCTACACAGGGGCAGGGGGCACCATTCTCATTGTAGTCCATGGCACTGGGCAACAGTCTGGCCCTGCCTGGTCCAGCCACACTGAACTTCAGTGTCTTGAAAGGGCTGGCCCCCTCTCTTTACTCTGCCACAAACCACTCCACCTGGTTAATTCTTGGTCATCCATTGGGCTTCACCGTTAGTGTCACTTCCTCAAGAAAACCTCTCAATCCCTGACTGGGTCTTCCTGTTCGTTATTTCCCTACCAAGGCAACTGCCTGCTCTTGTCCTTCAGATATTCCAAGGTCTTTATAAAACAACTCGTTCAATTACTGCCTCCTGGCGTGGCTATAAGCTACATGAGGAAAGGAGCTGCTCGTGTCTCATTCTCTTCTCTAGTCTCAGCACCAGGTGACAATTGGGCACTTGTAGGGACATTTGGTGAGTGAGTGACTAGATGAATATTTATCTCTAAATGCCTTTCCAAATCCAGTGTTCTCTGAATCTATCAAGGGGGGGAGGTAAATTTCTAGTCTTCTGGCCCCTCCCAGGGAGTCCCTTTTTTGTTTGTTTTGTTAGGGTTAGAGTTAGGGTTCGGGTTCTGGTTAGGGTTCCGGATGTCCATTTGGAGATCATCTGCATGTTCGCAGTCTCAGCAGCAGGGTGACACTGCTGATGTTAAGACAACGCATCCAGTTTCTAATATTCTGTGACTCAGAGGACAGAGTTGGGGTTCCAACTAGACCAAAAAGGTCCTTTATCACCTTCTAAAAAGGGGGACTCCAGAAAACCAATTGGAAGGCGGAGGATGCAAACATTTAAATGTGTGGACATAAACAACACTCAAGTGACCCAGCTGTGCGGGGTGCTTTGGCGGGCGGGTTGTCCCAAAAGCAGGAAGAGGGAACCTGAAATAACACCTTGCTGAGAACAGCAGGGAGCCTTCTGGTGAGAAGTATTATATGTGCCATCTTTCGGCAGACAGATATTTCACTCTGCCCCCGCCTGCTGAGATGTGAAGAAGATTCTCCAGCTATTCCTGGACTTGAACACATCCCTGAGACACTGGTGCCACGAGCTCACCCTTTCTTTGAAGCCACAGGGTGAGGTCTCTGTGGCTGAGGAACTAAAAGTTAGCTTTGGGGAGAGATTTGCTTTGGCTGCTTGGGAGGTAGGTCTTGAAAGAAGCCAAGCCCTCTGCTGATATAATGAGGCACCCGGCTTCCTCCACATCCTAATTATTGCTCTGCTAAAAATATTCAGTAATGAGTATGATCAGAGAACCTTTTTTATCATGCTTTTCAGAATCGCAGCGTTTGGTTATGGAGCTATTTTAAGAAGCAGCAGAGCACATGTTAATGAAGGAAACTTTCAGCAGTAGTAGGCGATATTAGAACGAGGATGATGTGGACCTTACGGTCTACTTCATGTAAGCCTCATCTTTTAATCCAGCTTTGCGGCAGGATTTTGACACCTAGCTTTGATAAGCAGGGTACTGTAAACTTTAATTCACGCCCGTTATTCCTCCGGCTTCATTTAACGTGATTTCTGTCATTGAACGTATGCCTCAAGTATAAAAGCCAAATGTGGGAGCTGAGGCCATTTCTGAGCATCTTTCTCCCATAGGGAATACACTGGACCCTCTACCTGGACCCTAAACGGATCTCTGCTGTGGGTCTCCATGGGTGAGGACTCAACAGAGCAGATCAATGGACCACCAGAATGGGTCCCTGTGCATATGAAAAGTCACCATAGGCTTATGCCTGTGCTCTCAGGGCAAGTACAGTACCATCTGACTATTCAATGTGGAGATGAGAATTGTGGCGAATTAAACAGGAGCATAGTTCCCATCCCCTGAAATCTGGGCTGGCCTTAGAGACTTGCTTATGACAAATGGACTGTAGTATAAATCAGAGGTCGCCAACTGGTGGTCTGTGGAGTTGGATGCAACAATGTTCCAGTAGGAAGAGAGAAGTTGATGAAGGAATTAACTCCAGGGAGTCTGCAGTAGAAGGACACCCCCCTCTCCTCCCCTCCCAATAACATCCTTGAGTTGATCAGAGTCTCTGACCTTGACAGAAAGGCTCAGTGACAAATGGGACAGCTTCCAAAGCTCAGGCACCGTGTCTGCCCTCCATAACACTTGACAGTTTTGGTTAGAAAATATAGGGTGTCCCCCCAAAAACGAATCCACACTTTAACAGCTGCTAGTTCCATTTTAAAAAATGAAATGTATTTAATAAGCACTGCTTTTATCGTTATTCAAAGTGTGTGTATACAACTTTTTGGAGATGTCCTATATTTTGCCGGAATCTACAAAACTTATCCGTGCTTTCTGTCCTCTGCATGTGGTACTCTGAGGATATTATTGTCATGTGACAAGATGATACACGGCAGGACTGATTTTGCAGACAAGGAGTCCGGATGGTTCATTAGCCAGTTATCTGCCGTCTTCTGGAAGGAACTTTCTTGGGAGGATAAAATAATTTCGTTGTGAGGACTTCGTTGTGATGAGGAAAATGACTGCCCTTTAAACCAGCGGATCCTGTGAGTTTAGTCTGATGGGGCCTTAAACTGGAAGTTGAGTACTTTGGGGCTCAGGTTAAATTCCTATCTAAATACCTAATTTGTGTCTGTACCATTTAGCACATGTGAACAGAGGCTTGTAAAGTAAGGTGACCAGACGTCCCGCTTTTGGCGGGACAGTCCCGATTTTTAACAATTTATCCCACGCCCTGCAGCGTTTTAAAAAAGTTTAAAAGATTTTTAAAAATTTAAAAGATTCTTTCCAAAAACCGGGACTTTTTTGAAATGCCGCAGGACGTGGGATAAATTGTTAAAAATCGGGACTGTCCCACCAAAAGCGGGACGTCTGGTCACCTTATTGTAAAGGCTACTAGGGAGACCTCTGAAATTCCAACTTGTATGTCTATACTGGAGACCAATGCCTATGACACACTAAACCTGATTCTGGTGCCACAGTAGACAGGGGAGCCCAGAACTCCTCACCTGCTTCCTTTATGTGCTTGTAAACATCATCTGAGCCAGCAGATGAGTACGGAATGTCATCATGGGCCACGAAGTCAATCTGTTAGAGAGAGAGGAGTGACGTCACCACGGGGGTGGATGTGCATGTCCGCAATTTGAAAAGGCCTTTTTGAAATAAAGCAGCTGTAACAAAGCAGTTGAAATAAGCAGTTGATAATGTGGCTTGGCATCCTTGACTGAAGGGTATTGCCAGCCGTCCCCATGTCTGTGAGATAATGGGAACTGGACTGGTTTCTCTCCTTCATTAGTTCCCCTTGCTCCTACCTTTGACAGTAGGTTTTCTGGGCCTCCTGTTTTTCTGCCTCTAAACTGTGTCCTTCAGAGAACTCATTTATTCTTCACATTTGAGTCACCGCTGCTATGATGAGGAACCCAAGTTTCCATTTCCTGTCCCATTGACGGCAATAGGCACTCATACTTGTGCCATCTTACACAGGGCTATGGAAATGAATTTAGTCTGATGAATGGATTTATAGTCTCTTTTCTCATTTGATTTTTCATAACCACACTGTGAGGTAAGTAGTGCGCATATTATTATTTCAGTTGGGACATAAGGCTGCTGGATCTGGAAAACTTATCCGATTTGCCCAAAGTCACACTTTCCTCTTTTACTACCCATCGCTGTCTCTTTAAAATCCATCTATCTGGAATTTCATTCATCCTGAAAACTGGTGCCTCCTTCCAATGGCACCTCCATTTTCCCAGTTCACCTAGGCCCCAAACACCTTAGAAGTGGCCTCACTTCCCCTCTGTTGCTACTACACTAATCCAGGGTCTGATCACCTGATTAATGATATCCATTTGTACCTCACCTTCCTCACTACAGGCTCCTGTCCAGGTCATTCCTCTGTCACATGAGGGATCTTCCTTAAACAGAATTTTCTCTTTGTCATCCTTGTGCCTGCTGACTTGACTAGTTCTATTTCCTCCTTTATCAAGTAAAACCTCTTTACCTACCTTTCAGAGCCCTTTATAACATACCTACACTCCACCTTTAGAGGTAGTTTGGAATAGCAGTTTAATTTGCATGGATATGATTCTTGCCCCACCCCTCACTAGCTACATAACTCACAAATTGGTGGTAAAAATTAAATCCGGATTTCTCAACCTCAGTACCGGTGACATTTGGACCTATTCATTCTTTTGGTGGGGTGTCTGTCCCGTGCCTTGTAGTATGCTTTGTAGCACCCCCAGCATTTACCCACTAGATAACAGTAGCAACCCCCTGGTTGGGATGGCCAAACATGTTTCCATGCATTGCCAAATGTCCCTTGGGGGCCAACTCGCTCCCATTTGGGAATCACTGAATGAAATGATATAATTATGTTTAAGCGTTTAAAAATAATGACTGGCACGCAGTACTCAATGTTAGTTATTATCATTCTATTCTTAGTACTCAAACTTCGTTCCTCCACCTGTCTAATATATAACAATAACAACTTCTCAGGATAGCCATGACATTGAATACCATTTGTATAAGAGCAAAGCACTCAGCACCGGGCTGGGCACATAGAGAATACTCAGGAGTGGCAGCCATCATCACCATCACGAGTACTTCCCTAATGCCTAGCACAAGTTGAATATACAATAGATGCTTAGTAAAAATGTGTCAGTGATTGCTGGAAGTAAATTATATTGTAGTTCTTCTTCTTTTTTCTTTTTATTCTTGCTGGGAAATTGTCTCCTCTGCTATTACCGATGCACATTTATCAGTGTTCTCTATTCTCTTCTGCATGGTGAATTTAAAAATAGACAAGAAAACTCTTAGAACTGCTTAATCTTATTTTTTTTTTTGTGCAGCTTATAAAAGGGAAGAATAGCTCCTAATGGGGGTCTGGTGGGGAGATACAAAGCACATAATTTGATGCAAATCAAACGAATTTTTCATGTTTTCCACTAATACAAATCTTATATCAGTAGGAGTCTCGGGGTCACAAAATCATAGCTATAAAGTTCTTCCCTTAAAGGCTGACCCCTGCCCTCCTGGATAAGATGTGTGTTCATTTGTTCCATGAAAAACGCTGCCCGTGAATCTATAAGCACAAGTAATGACAGTGGTGATGGCAATAATAATGACACTTCTGGAGCTCTTGCTATGAGCCAGCCGCTATTGCAAGGTTTTCACTTAGATGAGCTCATTAGATCCTCCAAACAGCCCCGGGAGGAAAGCACTAATAGCGCCCCCTTTTGCAGTTGAGGTGAGTTCAATATTTGCATTCAAGGTTAGGAAGGGATAGAGGCTATAGTTGGACCTGTTGGGGTCTAGCTCCAGACCCCACACTGAAGAAGTGAGAGGGTGTCAGTCCCCAGGATCGGGCAGAAGAGAGGGGCTACATCGAGGGACACCCCATGGCCGTTCCTGGAGTTACCTCTCTTAGGAATCGGTAGAGTCTTTGGGCATTCTGGGTATTGGCTGCAGAGCCAGACCTTATTTCTGCTACTTAGAGAACAGGGAAGAGTAAGTACCTTGTGTTTCTCCAAAAACTCTGGTGTGAGCGTCCATGGAGCATCACGGATGACTTCGTCTACGTAGCGACAGTGTCTGAGAGCTTCGTAACGCTCTGCTTCATTCATCACGGTAAAACCTTTGAATTTGTGGGTAAGGTCGTCACTGCAAACTAAAACAGGCAAGCGCATCAAATGCTGTTAGCTGGCCCGGCCCCCAGCACAGCCTTAGGTACCACAAAGCTTCTTTAGCAAGACAAAAGGCGCTCTGGCTTGCTATTTGCTTTGCATAATCGAACTCTGTTTTCTATGGGAACAAAGGCTTAGGAAAGGGAAGTGAGCTGAAATCCAGCAGCAATCAGAATTTCATTTCAGTGCTAATTACAACCGCATTCTCCGCAGTGGCTTTTATTAAAATTACTCTCCACACTACTAATGTGACTTTCATTTGCTTTGTATTTCCCTAGCCCATCCTTCAGGGAAAATTGCTATTTAGATATAAAATGATCAAGTACAGAGACAGAGAAGGGAGAGAAAGGAGAGGAATCAAGAGGCCTGGAGGTTTGAATAATCAGTTCCAATTCCTTTATTAGATCACTGTACATAGTAACCAAGTGTGACTCACGTGCGTAGGCACGTGCATAGTATACTTCTGTTTCCTGGATTGAGGATCAGCCCTGACACATCCGGCCACACAATCTAGAGGAGGAGGTCATGAAATACAAAGTCTGGCCCTAACCGGTCTGCTCAGTGGATAGAGCGTCGCCCTGTGGACTGGAGGGTCCCAGGTTCAATTCCGGTCAAGGGCATGTACCTTGGTTGTGGGCACAGTCCCAGTGGGGGGTGTGCAGGAGGCAGCTGATAGATGTTTCTAACTCTATCCTTCTCCCTTCCTCTCTGTTAAAAAAAATCAATAAAATATATTAAAATAAAAAGAAATACCAAGTCTGCTCTAGCAGAGTTCGTTCTTCCCACATCTCTTATCTTCTCTAGAGCTCAGGTTCGTTCTGAACCCTCACATGGGGCTAGTCATAACCTCCACAATCAGCCTTAGAATGGAGTTTTTGAGGATTTACATAAAAGTGCTCTGAAACAAAGGGCACAATAAATACTATTCCTTATCCTCTGCAGAATATCTTGTTTGTTGGCAAAGGCAGCTTTCCGGAGCTTTACTACATGTCAGGGGAAAATGTCATTGTGGGTACAGTCTATATGTACCAGTATACCGTAGTAAGAGTCTTGCTGCAGTGGTCAGATTATCCCGACTGCTGCTGCTTTTTAAAAAATATATATATATTTTATTGATTTCAGAGAGGGAGAGAGAGAGAGATAGAAACATTCATGATGAGAGAGAATCATTGATCAGCTGCCTCCTGCACGCCCCCTAACTGGGACTCAAATCCACAATCCGGGCATATGCGCTTGGCCGGAATCGAACCTGGGACCCTTTAGACCGCAGGCCAACACTATATCCATTGAGCCAAAACCAGTTAGGGTTGCATCTTTTATTTTATCCCAGCCCCTGGCTTCCTTGCTGTTTCCTGAAGCCACTGGAATACTCTTCTGGAGGACAGGGCTCACATTTCCCGTTCCCCGAACCTGGACAGCTCTGTTCCAGTTATCCAGAGGGCTCTCTCCCTGCCCTCCCTCAAATCTTCCCCAACTACCCTCTTCTAAACTGTGACCCCACCACTGCCACCGGCAGTCCCAATCCCCTCCCCAGTTTACTTCTTGCCATGCACTTGTCAACATATAATTGTCTTATTTAATTTTGTTTATGGTTATGTTCTTCTACTAAAATATAAGTTCCCTGGAAACAGGGACTTTTTTGTCTCTTTCATTTTCTGACGGCCCATAGTAGGCTCATAACAAATATTTGTTGAATGAATTAACAGTGCCTGGTATACGTATATAGACTAGAGGCCTGGTGCACGAGATTTGTGCACTGAGGGTGGGTCCCTGAGCCTGGCCTGTGCCCTCTCGCAATCCGGGACCCATCAGGGAATGTCCATCTGCCGGCTTAGGCCCAACCCACAGGCAGTCAGACATCCCCTCTCGCAATCCAGGGCTCTCAAAGTCTGGGACCCCTCGCTCCTTACTGCCCGCCTGCAGCAGAGGTGGGAGAAGCTCCCACCACTGCCGCTGTGCTCGCCAGCCATGAGCCCAGCTTCTGGCTGAACAGTATTCCCCCTGTGGGAGCGCACTGACCACCAGTGGGCATCTCCTGCATTGAGTGTATGCCCCCTGGTGGTCAGTGTGCATCATAGCAACTGGTCATTCCAACGTTTGGTCAATTTGCATGTTAAGGTTTTATTATATAGGCTGCTCAATAAATGTTTACTATGATTTAAAATAATAGATGTCTATTTATCTGCAGGCACATTTCAATACCATACATGCAAATAAGAGGTCAGTGGGTCTCTAGATATACACACATGTGCCTATATATCTCCTCTACATATTTCTTTAGATACTATATAGACATATATAGAATACAATAGAGAAAGAAGTATAGTGGTGGTTATATTATTATAACACCATCAGCCACATGAAAACCTCGATGAGTAGCAGAACTATCTAAGGACATGGTTAAATATAAAGATGAGTGGGCCTCACACCCCATGATTTTGACTCAGTGTGTGCTATGGTCTGAATGTGTCCTCCCCAAATTCATATGTTGAAACCTTAACTCTCAAAGGTAATGATATTGGAGGTGGGCCCTTCAAGGGTACAAAGGTCATGAGGGTGGATTAGTACAGAGAGCTCCCTAGAACCTTCTACCATGTAAGAAAACAAGGTGTCAGCTATGAATCAGGAAGAGGCCTCTCACCAGGAGACCATGTCAGCACCTTTATCTTGGGCTCCTCACACTCCAGAACCATGAGACATAAACTTTGGTTGTTGTTAAGCTACCAAGTCTGTGGTATCTTGTTGTAGTAGCTGGAACAAACTAAGACACTGGATCTGGAGGGGAGCCCAGGCAGCTCCATTTTTCACGAGTTTCAGGGAAAATTCTGAAGCATAAAACATATGAAAGCCCCTGAAGTATATTATGAACATCTTGAGTAAAGAGCCCGGCCGGTTTTTGAATCACCCATCATGCCCAGCTGTCAGGGAGGTGGTGTGCAGGGCAGGGAGTAGGGCCATCATGACAGTGTTATGCGTATTGATTCACTGACTGTGTTAGCTTTTGAGTCCCTAAATAGGAATCATTTATGAGCCAAGCTATACAATTTAAACATTGATCTAAGACTTTAAATGTTCTTTTAGGTCTTTACTAAAATATTACCTCAAGATTCATATTGAGCAGAAATGGATTTCAGATCCATCAATTTTCTACTTTAAGGAACCCAAAACTAGCCCTAGCCAGTTTGGCTCAGTGGATAAAGCATTGGCCTGCAGACTGAAGGGTCCCAGTGTTCGATTCCCATCAAGGGCACCTACCTCAATTGCAGGCTCCATCCCAGCCCTGGTCGGGGAGCCTGCTGGAGGTAACCAATTGATATGTCTCTCTCATACAGATGTTTCTGTCTCCCCCTTCCCTTTTCCACTCTCTAAATATCAATGGAAAAATATCCTCGGGTGAGGATTAACAACAGCAAAAAAGAACTTAAAACTAGGCTGGGTTACATCCCACCCCCCTTTTGAACCTGCACCTGAGCAATTTGGTATAACTTCTAGATGGCCGAGATAATGGCCTCCTGACCAAGCGCAGAGAAAACAAACATCCTGTTTATGCCAATAGAGGGTCTTATTTTCATACCCCAGAAGTGACCTCAAGAAGCAGCTGAACATGCTGACCAGTTATTGTCTAAACATTAATTACACCCAGAGCAGCACTGTTGTTCTTGAGTCTTGGCAAATGCATTCTGACAACCAGATGGAGACCTCGGAGGCATGGTGTTCCATGGATGAATTCACTGAGCTATCTGGGAGCTCATGCTGCAGCTAACCTATCCTGGCAGCTCACTGTACTCCAGATATAACCAGTACCCTACACTTACTGGGTGATCACTTCGTAAGACACACTGAGTGGCCAGATTATTATGCTCTCTCAACGCCTAATAATCTGGCCACTCAGTGTGTGTGTGTGTGAGGCCCGGTGCATGAATTTGTGCATGGGTGGGGTCCAGCCAGCCTGGCCAGGGGGAGGGGACATGGGTGATTGGCTGGTCTGCCTGCTGGTTGAACTCCTGGTCGAGGGGTCAATTTGCATATTAACCTTTTATTATGTAGGATATACACTGAGTGGCCATATTATTATACGTTCAGAGATCATAATAATCTGGCCACTCAGTGTATATTACTGTGTAATCACTAATTGAAGTATAATTGAAAATATTTATTTACGGTATTTTTTTAAGTTTTAAATTATAAAAAATATTACCGGTACCTCTCAGGAGAAAAAAATATAACATAGGGATTGGACTTTGGATTTGCTTTGAGTTCTAATGCCGGCTCTGTTGTCCCTGGGAAAGTTACTCAAACTCTCTAAGCCTCAGTTGTCTGTCTTTAAAACATGGCAAAGTTTTGAGAATTAAATTCGATCATCTGTATGAGCTCAGTAACGTTTGCCATTTATTTATTTATTTATTTATTTATTTATTTATTTTTAAATATATTTGTATTGATTTCAGAGAAGAAAGAAGAGGGAGAGAAAGAGAGAATCATTGATCGGCTGCCTCCTGCACACCCAACACTGGGGATCGAGCCCACAACCCGGGCATGTGCCCTTGCCCGGGAATCAAACCGTGATCTCCTGGTCCATAGGTCGACGCTCAACCATTGAGCCATGCCGGCCGGGCTGTCATTTATTAATAGTAGTAGAAATATAGGACCACTGGTGGCAATATTCCTTTGTGTTTGGGGCTCTGTCTTTTCCCCGCCCCCACTCCAAGCAGGTCTCCAGCCTCTCGGTAACACCCCCTCTCCCCACAAAAGTTGTGAAGTTCATGTTGCTGGCAGTTAGCATGCCCTTCTGGCTACTGTTCCCTACGGCCAGAGATCCTGGGTGGGTTTCTGTGAGGAAGACACAGAGAGAAGATTCCTCCAAATGAGGAGATTCTTCCAATGGGCTGAGGAGCCCAAGGTAGCAGGTGCCAGCGGCAGGGCCTCTGGGGATGAGGGTCATGCTGCCCTGAGCACTGGGTTCTGCCTGGGCACCGACCACAGGTGCCTCACCTCGCCCAGGGGACCTGCTCCCTTCTAACCATCTTGAGGGCTAAAGAGTGGAAGCCCCTCTCTTGTTTCTGTAAATATTTTGAAATTTTGTTTGGTTCTTGGGGAGCCTAAGAGAGCCCAACAAGGACTGGGCTGAATTTCCTACCAGTCAGGCAAAATGCAGTCTCAGAGGAATATTTCATTTCAATTAAAATACCATAGAGCCCTAACCGGTTTGCTCAGTCGATCTGCGGACTCAAGGGTCCCAGGTTCGATTCTGGTCAAGGGCATGTGCCTTGGTTGTGGGCACATCCCCAGTGGGGAGTGTGCAAGAGGCAGCTGAATCGATGTTTCTCTCCCATCGATGTTTCTAAGTCTCTATCCCTCTCCTTTCCTCTCTGTAAAAGAATCAATGAAATATAAAAAATAAAATAAAATAAAATACCATAGAGCACAAACCCACATTTATGGGCAATGTTGGTGTCTGCCGTAGTCCGAGTAGCATAGGTTTATTATTGTCTCTTATTCCCCTCCTATGAGACAATTAAAACAAACCAACAAGCTCTCCAATATAAATTTTAATTCTTTGACTTGTTTTTAAATGACTGAAGTTTTAAATTAAAATGGAGAAAACAGCCCTGACTGGTTTGGCTCGGTGGATAGAGCGTCAGCCTGCAGACTGAAGGGTCCCAGGTTTGATTCCGGTCAAAGGCACATAACTTGGTTGAGGGCACATCTCCAGGAGGGGTGTGCAGGAGGCAGCTGATCGATGTTTCTCTCTCATCGATGTTTCTAACTCTCTCTCTCTCCCTTTCTTTCTGTGAAAAATCAATTATATATATATATATATATATATATATATATATATATATATATATATATATATATATTTTTTTTTTTTTTTAATGGAGAAAACAGCTTTACAAAGGGATAGTTTTAATTCGCTAAAATAACAGCAGCAAGATAAGCTTGCAGAAAACCATTTTCAAATCGGGTCTGTTTCTATGTAGTAGGTAGCTCTGCTATCTCTCCCAGTATTGGCAGGATGGCCTTATGTGGCAGGTGTCCTGTGAGACTGAGTGGTGCAGGCTCCTTGATCCTCTAGCTGGGTTCTCCAGAAATGTCCCTTGTGTAGGTTATGAGGTAATTAAGTCTTGATTCCTATTGGCCCATTCATGTGTGGGATCGACCCTCAGGCTGGTTGGTTGGGTCTGGTGCTTGCCAAGATCTCCCTAGGGATATGCTGTGTGTGTGAAGCTTATTGGATCCTGCTCTGATGGTGTCTGAAGCTGGCCACTGGCCGTGTTGGTTTCTGGGGCCTCTTGGGAGGGACGCTGCCTGTGACTGGTCCTTGGCAAGCTGTTTGGAGCTACAAGTGATCCCCCGTTTGTGGCTGCCTCTTCGTGGCCTGGGGGCATGGAGGAAGGACTGAGGTGCACACTGCCGCTGGCTTTTGCCAGCATGGGGCCCAGGGGCGGAGCAGCAAAGGCCCCAAGGCACCCCAATATCCACCTCCACCTGTCGGCTGCCTGTTCAGCTCAGGCATTGAAAGAGCCTCGGGCTGTATTCCTCAGCAGGGCATAAGCTCCATGGGGTGAGTAAATTGCTTTCAAGTAAGAGAGTAAGGGTTCTAATTAAGAGTCATTTGAGCGGAGACCGGTTTGGCTCAATGGATAGAGCGTTGGCTTGGGGACTGAAGGGACCGGGGTTCAATTCCGATCAAGGGCATGTACCTTGGTTGCGGGCATATCCCCAGTAGGGGGTGTGCAAGAGGCAGCTGATCGATGACTCTCTCTCATTGATGTTTCTAACTCTCTATCCCTCTCTCTTCATCTCTGTAAAAAATCAATAAAATATATATATTTAAAAAAAGAAAAAAAGAGTCATTTGATAAGTCTTGGTAAAGCCCTTTTCTTATGCTTCCCAGAAAGAGAGAAAGCAAATAATTCTAATAGCTTGGTAATAAATCTGTTTGTAGGTCAGGTCATTTCATATCCATTGCTTCCAAGAAAATTGAAAGGAGATTTCAATACATTGTCACTGGATAGACCATTACAATTATTACTTATGACAATAGAAATAAATTATTTTTGTGACATTTGGAAAATAACTCATGAATTCAATAATTGAGTGGCATCATCATAACAAACTTCTTTCTTTCATCCCCATCTAAATATTTTTGTGAACAAAATACACCAGCACTTACATCTATAACAAGAAAATCCTATATAATAAAAGGGTAATATACAAATCGACCAAACAGAAGAACGGCTGGTATCTATGAAACACACTGACCACCAGGGGGCAGACGCTCAATGCAGGAGCTGCCCCCTGGTGGTCAGTGCGCTCCCATAAGGGGAGTGCCACTCAGGCAGAAGCCAGACTCAGGGCTGGGGAGCACAGCGGCCAGCTATGGAGGGTTGGGGGCGGGGAAGGGGGCTCTCCAGCCTCTGCGGCAGCACTAAGGATGTCCCACTGCGGCTTAGGTGGGAAGCAGGCCTAAGCTGTCAGTCGGACATCCTCCAAGGACTCCCGGATTGCGAAAGGGCACAGACCGGGCTGAGGAACCCCCTCCCCCTTCAGTGCACGAATGTCATGTACCAGGCCTCAAGTATAGGAATAAAACCAATGTTAAACTATGTCTCATTCTAGCAATCATAAATTCACCCACAAATAATGAGATCCCGCTCATCTCATATAACACCGAACAGGTTAAATGTTAAAGAGAACATTTGAAAAGACACCAGAAGTGAGGGGAAAACACCTTACTAATTACAAGGTTAAAAATTACATTGAACTTCTCCACAGAAATAATGCAAGCAAGAGGAGAATAGGGAAATATTTACAGTGTTGAGAGAAAACAACCTACCTACCCACCTAGAATTCTGTACCCTGCAAAATTATCCTTTAAAAGGAAAGGAGGAATAAAGACTTCCTTAGACAAACAAAAATTGAGGAAATTCGTTTCCAGTAGACCTGCTTTGCAAAAAGTGTTTTAAAAAGGTCTTCAGAGGGAGGGAAAAAGTTCTTCAGAGAGAAGGAAAATTATGTCAGAATTTTCAATCTACACAAAGGAAGAACATTAGAGAATGAACAAGTTAAGATAATTTTTATTTGTCTTATTCTTAATTCCTCTAACAGATAACACTTTGTTCTAAATAATAACAGCAAGAATGTAGTCAATTATGTATGACATATATATGCTTATATATAAGTGAAATGAATAACAGCAATAATTCAAAGGATAGGAGGGAGGAATTAGAATTATTTTGTTATTATAAGGAACTTGAACTACTGGTATAGTGTTATTTGAAAGTGGACTTGGCTTAGTTAGAATGTATATTGCAAATTCTAGGTCAGCCACTAAAAAAGTGAAAAAAGAAGTATAATTGATATGTTAAGAAAGGAGAGAAAATAGAAGAATGCCTGGCACATAGTAGCATCTCAATAAATAGTTAACTACTTCTTTAACACACTGTATATAAATTCAACTAATTGAATATAGGCCACTGATGTTAGTACATCATTCTCAGCGCTATGTCACACAAAGGAAATAGACAATTACCTTGTTTAACCTTTATCATTCTGAACCCCTTTCAGCTCTCCAAGATTTGATATCCAAATAATATTGCTTTTCTCCTAACCCTCTCGAAAGTTTTAGGAACATAAATTGGATCAAGTCTCAAACACAAGAAGAAAAGCATTAATGGAAAACAAGAAGAGCCCCAGCTGGTTTGGCTCAGTGGATAGAGTGTCGGCCTGCGGACTGAAGGGTCCTGGGTTCGATTCTGGTCAAGGGCAGTTATTTCCGTTGCAGGCTCGATCCCCAGCCCTGGTTGGGGTGTGTGCAGGGTGGGGGTAGAGGGGAGCAACCAATCGATGCATCTCTCTCACATAATGTTTCTCTCTCTGTCTCTCCCCCTCCCTTCCACTCTCTCTAAAAATCAATGGAAAAATATCTTCCGGTGAGGATTAATGGAAAAAGGAAGGAAGGAAGGAAGGAAGGAAGGAAGGAAGGAAGGAAGGAAGGAAGGAAGGAAGGAAGGAAGGAAGGAAGGAAGGAAGGATGGATAAAGCAGTTACTCTGTCTCTCTCTGGGGATTAGTGATGTATAAATCACATGATATAATTTTGCTTCAGTTTTTGAAACCTCATTTTAAATTTCAGGCAGCAAACTTGTGAGCCAATATGGGCTAAACTGGGAGCGTTAACAATGTGAAATTTTTAAAATATATATATTTATTGATTTTTTACAGGGAGAAAGTGAGAGTTTGAAACATCAATGAGAGAGAAACATCGACCAGTTGCCTCCTGCACACCCCCCACTGGGGATGTGCCCACAAACAAGGTACATGCCCTTGACCGGAATCGAACCTGGGACCCTTCAGTCCACAGGCCAACGCTCTATCCACTGAGCCAAACCAGTTAGGGCACAATGTGAAATTTTAATAAAACTCTGAAAGGGGTCCCGTAGAGAAAGCACATTATTAAGGAGTTTTCTAGACAAAGAGAAAATGCACTTCTTACCTCCTACTAGTAAGTAGCTGTTTGGAAACAGTGTTTTTGCTTGCATAAGTGCCCGTGCGTGGCCCGAGTGAAAGAGGTCAAATATCCCATCGGCATACACCCTGACGGGTCTGTCAACTGTGGGAGAAAGAAAGCATCATCAACAGAGCTGCAGACTAGGACATCCGGGTCACCTGATGCTCCCATCAGTATGGCACTGCGGGAAGGTTTACCTGGATAAAACACAAGGTCTCCGTACCATCCATTTCCTATTAATGCAGGAAGTTAATTTTACAAGGAGATTCTTCTGCAGACATCGGAGCGGAGTGGAAGCAAAGCAAAATTAAGACTGACCCAGAACACACATTTTGAGGCAGCAAGGAAGACCCACCCAGAGCGCCGGGACTTCTCTTGGCCCAGAGTGCAGTCTCGGGAGCCTGAGGCAGCACATTCAGACAGACCAGGAATAACCATAGGGTTGGCAGGGTCAGCTCGGTTACCAAGGCAGGGGTAACCAAGGAGCTCAAGGAAAAGAACAAATGACTTCATCCTTGAGTCTGGCAGTTTGAATGAAGATCCGTCCTATGTCCCAGAGACAGTGCTGTGCAGGAGTAGCTATGCACCTTTACAGAGACAGATATGCACCTTTAAAAAAAATTATATATATATATATTTTATTGATTTTTCACAGAGAGGAAGAGAGAGCGACAGATAGAAACATCGATGAGAGAGAAACATCGACTCAGCTGCCTCCTGCACACCCCTTACTAGGGATGTGCCCGCAACCCATGTACATGCCCTTGACCGCAATCAAACCTGGGACCCTTCAGTCCGCAGGCCGACGCTCTATCCACTGAGCCAAACCAGTTTTGGGCACCTTTTTCTTTTTATTGATTTTTTATATAGAGGAAGGGAAAGGGATAGAGAGCTAGAAACATCAATCAGCTGCCTCCTGCACACCTCCTACTGGGGATGTTCCTGCAACCAATGTACATGCCCTTGACCAGAATCGAACCTGGAACCTTTCAGTTCACAGGTCGATGCTCTATCCACTGAGCCAAACCGGTTAGGGCAGTTGTGCACCTTTATTCCAAACTCACACTGGCAGCCTGCAGTCAGTCTCGGTAGGAATATTTATACCGCAGAAATTAGCAAGTGCCTATGTCCCCCTAGAGGGCCAATTGTTAAGCACTTGCCAGCATACTACTGCACAAGGGTCACTCCCTAACCTCTTTGGGATCCATGAGCAATGTGGGAGGGGGATACACGTGCCCCAAAGAGAGGAGAATCGGGGTACAAAGGTTACGTGTGGGGGTGGGCCTCAGGTTTGGAGGCGAGTGACCAACACTAGGGTTCTAAGGACAAGAGTGACGAGGCCACAGCAGACACTCTGCAAAGGCATACAGAGCTCCCAGAAGTGCCTGCCATGAGGAAGAGGGACTCACTTCACCATAGCCCTTTGGAAGCTAGGAGACTGGAAATGCAGGCTAGAAAATGCAGGATGACCTAAACCCTCAAATAAGAGGGCTATATTAGCCGAAACCGGTTTGGCTCAGTGGCATCGGCCTATGGACTGAAAGGTCCCAGGTTTGATTCCGGTCAAGGGCACGTACCTTGGTTGCGGGCACATCTCCAGTAGGGGGTGTGCAAGAGGCAGCTGATTGATGTTTCTCTCTCATCGATGTTTCTAACTCTCTATCCCTCTCTCTTCCTCTGTGAAAAATCAATAAAATATATTTTTAAAAAGAGGGATATATTGGGGGTACGGAGCTTGGGTGCCAATTTTTATACCATTCTGGACTTTCAACGAAGGAACTACAAAGTGAAAATATGGCAAATTACAAGATAAATATGGCAAATTGAACACACCACCACCACCACCACCACCTCCCCCGAAACACAAGAATTACAGAGAAAAAAAAGGAAAAGGTAGAATACCCCAAGGCAGAGGGAGTAAGGAAGGCAATGACAGTGAATGAGAGAGGTCCCTAACATTTTGGAAAGTTGACTTTCAAGTGCAGAGTGCCCACAGCTAGCCAGACTCCAGGGTGGGGCATGTAGGCAAAGGGACTGCTGGTTTGTGTTTTTTGTAAGCCTAAGGCAGTGGTCGACAAACTCATTAGTCAACAGAGCCGCAGTTTGCCAACCACTGGCCTATGAATTGTAGGGACTTTTTCAACTACATGCGTGAATTATGTTAATGCTATAAAAATACAGTTTAAAAAAGAATGCAGACTTTGGTTGAGTGCTCTTGAAGACTTAGATTTAAAGTTGTGATTATTTCTTGATGTGGTACAACCTCATTAATTTGGAACATACATTAAAAGAAATGTTACATTACTAGATTCAGATGGTAAAATATTTCTCATAAATTTAATTTCTCTAATAAAAAAATCTTGGGGCTTTATGTCAGACAGGGTATTGCAATTATTTGCAATTATATAGCATTTTGAACAAACAGAACTGCCTTCACAGGATTATCCTGTATCCTAAATAAGGCACAGTAAATAGAAAACACTCTGAAATAACAAACTGCCTAATGAGGGATCCTTGGTTTCAATGCTCTTATTCAATTTGAATTCAATTGAGGAAAATTTGTTTTAAAGTTGTAAACCCCAGAGGAAAGCAGATGGCAATTTTGCAGAACTTTTCCTTATTGATTCAGAGGTGATCGAGATAAATGGATTCAGGAAGCAGGGAGGAAAGAAAAGTAAAGAAAGATGATATAATTACCGAGAAAAAAGGCCATTTAGGAAATCTTTGAACGGTATTTGTGCAGTTGATTTTGCAATAAGCTCACTTTTACAACTGTAATGTGTCAGCAGTTCCCAGACTGGGAAACTCTACAGGACCAAAAGTAAAAAACAAAACAAAAAACAAACAAACAAAAACCAAAAAACAAACCCACAAAAATAGGAATCCTACCTCTTAACAAATAAACTTCAAGAGAAAAAAAATGAGAGAGAAATAGAAGGAGAACCTGCAGATTAGAAGAAATTTAAAAAACACATCAATGTATTGTAATGTATAGACATTATTTGGATCCGGGTTCAAACAAACTACATATAAATGATGACACAAGACAATTGGGAATGGTAACACTGAATATTTGATGATATTAAAGCACTATTGGTAATTTTTCAGGCGAGATAATGGTACAGTGCTAATCTTTAAAGAGTTGTTTTATATACTAGTATATACTCACAACTATTTATAAATGAAATGAATGATAGGAAGACTTTCATTCAAAGAATTCCAGAGGAAAAAATAGACGGGGGCATGCATGGGGCAGACTCAGGAGGTTTCATCATATCGTTTTATTTTTGTGTCTGTTTGAAATGCTCCCTAGTAAAAACGTCAATAGAATGTGGCTTTTTAAAGTTAGCTCGTATATTTAGTTGCTTTCATCCTTTGTGTGAGGGTTCTCTGGATATCCTTTAGGTAACTAGGGACTCTGCAGAGCATCTGTGTTGGGAAATATTGGCGTGTGAAGCTGAGGGACTGGCAATTATCGCAAAGCAGAGCACAGCGATTCCAGGGCCGTGCTTTAGAGACCTTAAGGCGTCTCCCAATGCCTCCCGCCTGCTGGTGTTTGCACGTGTGTATGACCGCCCTCCGTCTGGGGTGTGAGTGGGATCTGTGACTTGCTTCTGATGAGTACAATCTGGCCCAGATGAGAGATGGCACTCCCATGATGATGTGACAGTACATAGCTTGGTGGTTGTGCAGAAGCAAGCTGCCAGAATGGGGCAAGATGGCTGTGGCCTAACAGGAGACTGTGGGCCCTTGTTCCCAGCCACCGGCTGGATTTACAGCTAAAATACTGTGCAGTCAGCCGAAACCGGTTTGGCTCAGTGGATAGAGCATCGACCTGCGGACTGAAGGGCCCCGGGTTCGATTCCAGTCAAGGGCATGTACCTTGGTTGCGGGCACATCCCCAGTAGGGTGTGTGCAAGAGGCAGCTGATCGATGATTCTCTCTCATCAATGTTTCTAACTCTATCCCTCTCTCTTTCTCTCTGTAAAAAATCAATAAAAAATATAAAATAAAATACTGTGCAGTCAGCTTGAAAAAAAAAAGAGAGACGTACAGCTGATTGGGCTGATTGGGCATATTGTATCTGAGGAGCACTGGGGAAACCATATAGAGAATGGGAAGAGAAGGGGAGCCCCTGGGAAAGGGGGATGCCCCCCCCCCCCCCCCGGAGCTGGTGCTCAGTGAGAGGCTGATATTGGCTGCAGAGCTCCCCGCTTGCCCCTGCTTGGGAGCATGGGCTCACGATCCCACGCAGGGATCCCAAACCTGGAGCAGCAGAGACAGGAAAGAGAGCACATAGGGCAGTGGGCAGAGGGAAGCAGGGAAACTGTCTCCCTAGGACAGTGGTCGGCAAACTCATTAGTCAACAGAGCCAAATATCAATAGTACAACGATTGAAATGTCTTTTGAGAGCCAAATGTTTTAAACTTAAACTTCTTCTAATGCCACTTCTTCAAAACAGACTTGCCAGGGCCGTGGTATTTTGTGGAAGAGCCGCACTCAAGGGGCCAAAGAGCCACATGTGGCTCTCGAGCTGCAGTTTGCTGACCACGGGGCTAGGAGGTTGGGACTTTCCCTTCCCAGTGAGAGAGCACACCTATTGCTAGCAGTCTCAGCCAGAGAGGGTCACCCCGGGCTTGGACTGCTGGAAAGAGCGTGCTGCAGTGTTTGGCTCCAAAAATAAGGGGTTATACCCAGCGGTGACTTTGACAGACCCTCTCTGCTTTCCTGGAAGGCACTGTGCAGAGCCCTAGCCAGTGACTCCACTGTGTGGCGTGGGGAACGGGGAGAGGAATCTCTCACCTCAGGTTTGCACAGACTGCCCATCCTGTGGAGCTGGTGGCAGGGCAGATTGGGGATTTTTGACCCTCGCCATGGAGAGGTGGGAGCACAAGTGGAGCTGGGATTCTCGACCCCCCACTTGACTGAGACCAGCTGTGCAGAGATCTGGGTCCTGTGCGGGGCTGACTTTGTAATCTCTTCTGCTTGGACCTGTGGCATGAGGGTGCCAGGACCTCACAGAGCAGGGGTATTTGAACAGGATCCCCTGGGAAGGCTTCTATTGGGGAGACAGGTGAGCAAGAGCTGGGCTTTGTGACTGC